CATGGGATGGAGCCATTAGCAGCTCATCCGGGGGGCACAGTGTAGGGGCAGCTCCCACCACTGCGGGCACCCCAGGAGGGCATAGGAGGCGTGTGTCCCTGTATCTGTGTGTGCAGTGAAAGTGGGCTGCTGCTGCAGGCTGCGATGGCGTTGAGCTGGGCTGTGCTCAGGGCGGGCAGCAGCGGTGCTGGAAGGGGGGCCTGCAGCCACCCCAAAAAATGCCTTAGTCCCCCAACCCTCCCCTTCCAGCGCCACCACCACCTGCCTTGCGCACAGCCCAACCCAACCCCCACCAGGAAGAGCCCGGCATCACCCCAGCCCACAGTGACAGCCCACCCTTGCCCCACGTGCAGATCCAGGGACACACGCCTCCCATGCTCTCCTGGGGTGCCCGCAGCGGCAGGAGCTGTCCCCCGCCATGTTCCCCAGATAAGCCACTCACGGCTGCATCCTGCACCCCACCCCAGCTGTGCAGCACCTGCCCCAGCCCCACTCCCTCCCTGCGGCGACCTTGATCTGCCCCCCATGCTCCTTCCCTCACAACAGACTTACTAGCCGGACCTAGCTGCTCTCTACGCTGCCAGGTTGCACCCCTGGCCACCTGCGTGCTGCACTGCAGCTGCATGCACACACGGGGCATTTATCGATGGTGTTATCAGCCACATCAGCCAAAAAAAGCCAATTGTTGATACATTCTATTTTCCTTATATCAGTGTCAATCCAATATGGGGCCAACATATTTTTGGTGCACAATCTAGCGCAGGGTAATGACTCTAGTCACTTACAGAACTCCAGTGAAAACTTTGATGTCTACATATGTTGTAAGCCCCAAAAAAGAGCTAGGCTTATATGCTGACAATTGCATTCCTAAACTCAAGTTCTTAAATTGCACCTAAAGTCCCATTCTGGGTACCCAAGTCTTTTCTTTTTGGATCTGGGAAAGTCTGCATAAGGAAACCTGTGACAGGGGGCGTGGGAATTATCTACCAGGAAGACCTCAAAACAACATCAGTTTTGCAGTAACCATATATCACACATTGTTTTGCCTCAAAATAAAGACATCAAAACCCCACTTTTTTCTTAAATTTGTGTGTATGTGTATATACATTGTGTACACACACAACTTAAGAACAAAGGTTAAGGTTCAGCTCCGACTCAGTCCTTCACACTTCAGCATAGAGAACTAGGGGACCAAAGACAGAAATCTGATATATACCAGTCCACATCCTCAATGTTATCTTATGTTCCTCAAAGGAACATAAGATAACATTGATATAATTATAAAAAACAATACAGCAAACTAGATTACTGCTAGGACTTCCTACATTGAACTTGTCAAGTGGGCAGACTCTTACCTTCCAGAATTTAAAAATAAAAACCTTCCAAACCCCCACAAGCTTCTCAAAGACACACAGATGTACTTCAACTTCTACAGTATGACTGGAGTTATTCATCCAATCCCTGATCCTACAAGCTATTCTTCATAGTCAAATTCTTATCCTTTCCTGTGGTCCAGTAGAAGCTGAAAGTGGGATGTAAGTGCAGGTCGGGGAGTTGGGGGTAGGAGCAGACTGAAGAAAAGGGTGACTGTGTAACTCACATGACTGAGGAGCTTCTGAAGTTAGAGTGGTATATTAGAAGTTTCTTAAGCGACAAACTGATTTGTAAGATATTGTATTTAAATTACATTATAATTATTTATTTCAAATGATTATTTATGGCTACCTAGACTCGACTGACCTATGATATCGTATCAATAGTTGGAGGGGTTTTTTCTAAAAGTAAAAATTCACAACAGTATTTAATAACATTTAAATAACAATGATAACACTTCAACTGACAATAACAACTAAATGCAGTACCATGATCATAACTAGATAAAGCCCAACAAGCAGTTAACTTATGCCAATTATTTGAACTGTAGTTGTATCCACAAGTGTCAGTTCAAACTAGGGGCCAGAAATCACACACAAAAGTAACATTCAAATTCCTCATTTTCATTGAAACAAAAAGGAACTAGGAGGGTACCCTAGCTCTATACACAACACTTTGAGAACAATTATCTTTATAGTATATATTAAATAATTGCAAATTAAAGCCTAACAGCCTACACCATAAATTCAACTTTACCATGCACATTTATCTTATTCCAATTTGCTTTAAACTCTCAGGCCAACTTGTTTATTACATATTTTAACAACTGTATTTCCAATCATTTTCTGCTCATCATATCTATGAACACAAGACAGTAAAACTGTCTCAGACTTCTGAAACATACAGCATGTCTGCCAAAAAACAGCCCAGATCCTGACAGGCAGTGAAATAATACTTTAGGCTTACTTAAGACATAAATAAATGAAAAATATTTGTTTTAATGTGGAAATCTTCACTCTTGTCTGAATACTTTCCACTAAGTACCATTGATCATAGTTGGTCAACCTGCAGCAGATGACACAGGTACACAGGCAGCCAGTGTGTGGGGCATGTGGCAGTTATGGGAGTAGACAGAGAGCAGAAAAGGCAGAAGAGTATCAGAGTGCCCCTCAGGGAGGGCACAGGGTCTAACTTCTGACACGCCTGCCGAAAAAATTGGCCCCCAATGGCCTGGAAGTCTTTTGATAATTAATTTTAAATTCTACTTCAGAATAATATATGTTATATATGCAAATCCTTATCTTTTGAGAGAACCATACAACAGAAGACAAGCTATATTAGTGTCAAAATAAGTGTTTCAGAGGGGACATCACGAGGACACACTAGCCTCAAACTAACAACAAAACTTCTTCCCACATTATGATAATCCATGACAACCGAGCTCACTCTTAAAGAAAGTTTACATTCAACATGTAAATGCAAAAAATACTATGTAGTAGTACCCAATATGATAGCTTCTTTCGAATTCTTAGCAAATGCTGACTTTTTATTGACCTATTGTAGCTGTTTAGATTTCTAAAAGGACAGAAGGAAAAAAATAATAATGTAAAAACAAAAAAAAAAATTACAAAAGGGTAGCAAACTATTAAGCACTCACAAAGCAAACTGTAGCGTAAAACTGAAACTCTCTTATATGTCACTATTTTCATGTAAGTATAACCTCTAAACCACATGTGCTGCAACATGGTGTTTGGAAAAATATTAGCCAGTTATTTTCTGATTTTGTGGGTTTAAGTCAAGCCCTTGATATTATTCTCACTTAGTCTGTAATTCTGTCGTACACCTCCAGAACAAGTACAATATGTCCTGGGGAGATTTAAGAAATCCCTAAGCTATGGGGCTTCATACAGTTGTATCATGTTTAGTTTAAATAAATAAATAAATAAATATGTTGAGATAGGAAAACAAACCTTGTTTTCACCCAACCAAATGATAAATTACTAGTATAAAAATATTTCTTGAATTGAAAAATAATTTTATTTCTCTCTGCCTGACAGATTTTTCTTTCCTTGTAGCCCAGTGTTGTGCACAAAATTTCTTTTCCCATTTTCCCACAAGGGAATTTTTGGTCACTACTCCATTTTATTTTCTCTCCTTACCTGGAATTGTTTACAGCTCAAATGACTTTTAGAGCATTTCTGAGTAAACACAGAAGGAGAAGAAAAAAAGGGAAGCACACACAAAAAAAACCCCGTGTCAACATGAACTCTCTATTAAAAAGCAGTACAGAAATAAAAAACAAGCAGAATGACACTCAAGGCAACTAGAAAAAGGCTGGAAGCCAATCCCTAGTACCTCCCTAAGCAAGTTATCAGTAAGGCCAATATGAAGACATGCCAGGTTAGAGTCTTTCTGCATTTCAAGCCCTTTATTCCCATTTGATACACTGCTGTTGTGTGCTTGTGTCCTGGGGAGCTTGGTGGAACTAAAAGCCGACCAGTAAAACAGACACTAGGCTAGAATAATAAAGCTTAATTGTAAAAAAAACAAAGACAAACATGAAAGTATAGTGTCAGCTCACAAACAGAGCCATCTCACTATGGGAAGAGGCCTAGGTGATTGGGTTAGATTACAAAAGATCATGTCCATTACCCTCATATCTAACATCTTTTTATTGCTGGCAACCAAAAAAAGAGCCTCCTTGAGACACCTGCCACTTAGACGTCACCAACATCCAAAAGGGAAAGGTCTCAGGACAGTGAATTCAAACTGGCATAACCCTGGGCCAGTGATCCTCACCCGGGTGCCTCAAGGTGACAAACCACGTTCAAACTGCAAACATGATTCACAAAATAACCTCAGGGGTTTCATAGAGGAATCCAGTATTCAAAGCAGCCTGACCTGGCCTTTCTAAGGGCCTTATCACACATTCATTTTAGGCAGCTCCCAGAGCTCTTAACCCATGAACAGTCCACCTGAAATCAGTTTTAAGCACGCTTCAGGGCCTGTTTACCGCTAAGCTGTGTTACTCATTTAACATGTGCCACTCACATATTCATAGATGCTGGGGTCAGAAGGGACTTCAACAGATCAAGTCGGACCCCCTACCCTGGGCAGGAAAGAGCGCTGGGGTCAAATGACCCCAGCCAGATGCCTAGCCAGCCTGCTCTTCAAGACCCCATCCCCCGGTGGGGAGAGCACCACCTCCCTGGGAAGCCAGTTGGATGAGCCACCCAAATTGCAGTCCTCCAGCATCCCAGCATGCAGTGTGCCCTGCCCCGCTCGCTGGCTGGCATGGACAAACTTTCTACCCTTCGAACGCGTCTGCGCAGGGGGCAGCGCTGCCACCGAGCCATCTCCCCCTCCCCGACCTGCCCTGTGCAGGGGGGCGAAGAGCAGCCAGGCCGCAGATGGGTCCAGGAGGGGGCAAGAAGATAAGGGGCCACACCGGGTCCCGGGCTTCCCGAAAGCACTTTCCCCCACTACCCCTGCTGCAATGTCCCCTCTCTCCAGTGGCTTTCACTGCCCCCGCTTCCCTGCCCTCCGCGCCCCAGCTCCGCGAGCGGCTGCAAGTGCCCCACGGGCCGGGAAGATGCTCCCAACGGTTCACCCGCCCCAGCGCTCACCTGCGCCGCCGCCGCCGCCGCCGTTCTGCCCGCCTCAGACACGCGCCCCGGCCCGGCCGCCCAGCCCCGCAGGCACCGCCCTCAGCTGAGGAGGAGGAGGAAGCGCGTCCTCGGCTCCGCTCCGCTCCGAGGGGAGGGCAAAGGAGGGAACCGCCTCGCTGCCTGCACCTCCCTTCCTCCAGTCCCGGGCGGGACTGAGCGCCCTCCTGGCGCCCGAGGCAACAGGCGAAGTGCCTCGCCCGCCCGGGGGGGTTTCTTCGCTGCCCGGCCCTGGGTAGGGTAGGGGACCTTCACTCCCCCGGGCTGGATCTGGGCTCCTCGCCGTTGGGTCCTGGTTAGGGTGGCCATTATAGAGGAGAGTCCGGTTGTCCTCTATTGATATGAAGCCCCACGCCTTTATGTCCTCTAGTTCTCTCTTGAAAAGAGAAATAAAGGCGTTGGGTTTTGTATCGGTGGAGGACAGGGTAGCAGAAAGCATAAAGGTGTGGGGTTTCCTATCACTAGAGGACAGAGGACTATAAAACATAAAGGTGCGGGGTTTCCTATCAATAGAGGACAGAATAGCAGAAAACCTGGATGTCCTCTATGATGCCCGCCCTAGTCCTGATCCACCTCGGGAGGCTGAGGGGTTGTGAGCCCAGGGGTTGCTGCTTGTCCCAATGGACGCAGCACCCTACCTAGATTCCTGGTGGGCCCCGGGCAAACTTTTAGCATCGGATAATGAGCACATGATGATAATAATCAGACAGTGGGGACAAAATGACCGTTTTTCAGCCCCCTTGTGTCTGAGCCCGGGGCAGCAGCCCCGTTTGTTTGTGCCTGTGTCCGGCCTTGTATGGATGGGAGGGAGAAAAGGATAAAAGCACCTGGCTGTAAAGGACGTTAAAAAGAAAAAAAGCCTCTGTAAAAAAATAAAAGATCTAAAACGTCCTGAGCTTCACTGAAGCAGTGTCCTTGGAAAGTCAAGTGGGGATGGGCCAATGGATCAGAGCAGCGCCACTGTAGTACTCAGGGAACCGTCCCAGGGCTTTGTAGCCCTTGAGAACCTCCACAGCTCCCTGTCTCCCGGCTGGCCTGGCTCTAGCCAAGCTAGCTACCTGATGGGGCAGGAGGCTGGTTGGGAGGAGCCCCAGGGACTGCAGGGTTGTCTTCCTGCCCCTGCTCTGTTCAGTCTTTGGGCAGTTTCACTGGGCAGTGTCCACTGACTCCCTGGACTCATTTGAGGGCCAGCAAGCACTGCTCAGAGTGCTTTGGTAGGTGCCCTCCTTGGTAAATTTATTTTAAACCTTTCACTTTCACTGCCATGCCTGTTTTCTTTTTGGTTGTTCCTGGAAATCAAGTGATATATGCCTGGTAGCTTACCCCTCTAATAACAGTGGGGGGCTAACCATTGCTCTGTAGGTGTCTAGCCCATGTTAACCTTATATGTCAAATAGACCTGTCCCTCAGCCATCCTGGCTCTAGCCAAGTTAGTAATATCCCTGACCAAAAAGGAGGCTCTGGCTGGGAGCAGCCCCAGGGACACCACCGGTGACATCTGTGGGCGGTCAGCGATTGCTTCCAGCAGCGTCTGCGGGTGGTCTCCAACCCCTGGTCGGGGCTCACCACCCCCCCACATCCCTCCCGCTGACAGTGCCGGCAGAGTCTGCAAGAGCTCCCTGCTTACTGCTCCCATGGTCCCGTTGCCACCAGCACTGGCATGCCCCACCAGCCGCCAGGGGCACGCATCGTTCATGGCTCCATGGGCCATATCTTTTGTACCCCTGCATTAAAGTTTGCCCAGGCTCAGAAATATCCCTACCACCCAATTGTTTGGAAGACACGTACATCATCTCTGACCTTTCTGCAGCTGTCCATATCCTGGCTCTCTGCAGAGAAACATAAAGTCCTCATTTCTTAGATTACCCAAGTCATTCTGTCCTGTGGAAGGATGCTTCCATGGCTTTCAAAAGTCTGGATCTAGCAAGTACTGAAAACATATAGTCTGGACCCAGGACTTTACAATGACCAACAGTGTAATGACTTGGCTGAGCACCTGGCACAACTGCTACACACAAGGACTGTAATGACTCCAGTTGTTACCACTACGGCCAATGTCATCACATGGCTGCAGCAGTGGCCCTTTTTCCTTCCCTGCTCTCGCCTCCTCCCACCAAATTAGTGCCCAGGGTGACTGTCCTGGTAGGTGTGCAGCTGCAATAGCCTAAAAATATCTTCTTGCATAAAATATTTAAATATTTAAATATTTAGATCATGATGATCTAACTTTCCTTCTAGTCCTGTTAGGATTAAATGGGGATAAAGTTGGTAACAAAAGGCATTTATACACATGTCCCAGGAACATCTCATGTGCCAGCATCCCCACACTGAAAAATGGCAGCGAGCTTTAGTTAAAGCACCCCACCACCATTTTTCAATGCATGGATGCTGATACACAAGACGCTGGAGTCTGCTGAAATGTGACAATTACCACGCCCCAGCAGACTCGATTACTCAAGTAATTACAGTGTGTCAGAGCAGCCTCATTGCACATGTATAGGCACCCAGATTTTGCCGGCTTTGTTTTTTCCCCATATCCAAAAAAAATTCAGTGGCTTATGATTGGGAAAAAAAAGGATAGCAGGAAAAATAATGGAGATTTAGTATAGAAATTCATGCAGTTGGGGTTTTTTTCTCATATAGGGTTTTTGCTTACAAGTAGCTTTAAACATGCAAAAACACTTCTTCCTTAGCACTGACCACAAAGTCTTGGTTATCATTGCATTAGCTAGCCCAACATTTCAGAGTTGTGTTTTAACCAATTAATACCTGGTAATGAAGAAAATACCTACGGGTAAAAACATATGTGGTTCTAGTGAATAAGAGGAGCCAACATTGCGAATGTCTGTCTGTCAGGGCTGTATGGTCCCTTGCTAAATGAAATCTTGAATTTATTGGCCATGAGGATGTATATTAGGGTGTATCTGTGACAATAGCCCCAGATCATTTGTTACTTCCTGGGTTTGGGTTAGATTATTTTTTCCTTTTCAATCTCAGATTTTCCCAATGTCTAGGTAGAATATGTGAGATGATTATGAGGCACTTCATTAGACCCTAGAAAATTATCTAAGATGATTTTACATCTCCTGCCATGGTAGTAACCAGGCAGATCAGCCTTTAATGTATTTACTCTCACAAAAGCTTTGCAGAGTAAGGACTAATACTACTTAGCTGTTACATAGCACTTTTCATCAAAAGATTACAGAGCACTATACAAAAAGTTATCATTGATGTCTCAGAAATAGAGATACCATGCTACAGAAAGGCTAAGGTTATAAAGGAAGCATGTGACAGCAGGGAACTGAATGCTAGACTCCCAAGTCCTATGTTAATTCTCTCTCTCATGCTTTAGCCTTCATGTCTTTTGAACAGAAACTTTGAGAGTGACCAGGCATTTTATTTCCACATACTGGATATTATAAAATCAATAGAATGTAGAAAGAATGTTTCCACGTACGTATATCTTTATGCTTTAGGAGCAATTCCAAACTTTGTGAAACTGATCTGGTTTTACAATGCACTATTTTAGAGCTACAGTAAGATTAAAGAAAATATTTTAAAATTAAATGCAGAAGGTTTCCCAAAACTTAATAAAATATTAGTGTATATTTAGTAATATTGATGTAACTTAAGGTATAAACTGGGTGAAATTGGAAACTGAATTACAATAGAATTTTTAAAAAATGGAAGTTAAAAAAGTGTATAGAAAAAAAACCTGTATATGCTGTTAGCCATGATAGAACAAGTTTAGATTTTGCAATTTATCTTGTTATGCAGAATTGCACTAACAGCCATCGGAGTGCAGGCAGTGGCCTCAGAACAGATGGGAGACTGGGATATTTGCTTCTGATGCAGAACTAATAGATTATCTAGTAGTTTTCTTGAGCTTTACATCTAAGGGTTATTATGTGAAATAATAAAACTGGTAATGCCCATTTTGTTCCTTCATGAAAAAAAAAAAGGGAGGTTAAATCAAAGATCACTTTAACAAGAAAACTATTGAAGTCCAGAGAAAGACCCACATCAATGTCAGTGGCTGTTTACACTGGGATCAGGACTGGCAACAATCTGGTGTCTGAAAATTAAGGAACCACAACTACGTACAGCTGAAAATCTAAGCTCAGTTTTTCCTGACTACTTGGAAGCCATGACAATACACCCCTTCAGTCATAATTATTCTTCATTTACTCTAAAAGCTAATGAATAATTTCATTGCTGACAAAGTAAAAAGGATAAAGAGTAGGAACGAGAACATAATCTTTACAATTTACTTATCATTCCAGTACAATTCTTGTTGCTTTATGTTTAGTTTAATCGTTATTGAAATATTTTTAAAAATTAAATGAGAAAAATCTTAATTTGTTAGGCAAAATTTATTCAATATCAATGCACAAACAACTTAAACACCAGAAAACCACAAGATTCATTTTTGTTCATTAATTTCCAATAGCCATCAACAGTGACTTTGACAAAAACTCCTTTAATTTAATCTTACAGAAAATAAACAATTTCCATGAGAGAATTTAAAGTTTCCATGAGAGAATTTAAAGGCTTTTATACAATTTCCATGAGAGAATTTAAAGGCTTTTATAGGATTTTCAAACAAATCTGTGTATCTACCTGCCATTTAGAGTTGTTTGATGTGGTTAAGTATATTATTTAACACTCATTCTTAGGTAACACGTGGTTTTTATATATATACAAATACACACAAACACATATATGGGGAGAGACAGGGAGGTCTATATACATACTCTGATTTTCTTTGACAAGCAGCATTAAATTAATAAAATAGCACATTAAGTAATGGGACTTTGTCTATATATTTCACTTGGAACATAGGGATGCATTTGGTTTAATGATTCATGGCTGTAGTTGCTTAATACAGGTACATACTGGTAACACAGTAATAGTATTCTCATATATTCCTAGTTGATTTTTTGTTACTGCTACTGTTGCCTGGGGGAGAGATGTTGCCTACAGAC